CACCTATAATGGTACACCCTAACAATCTGCAAATATTCCCTGCAGTCATTTTTCCTTTCATCATAGTCAAAGCTCCTTTAACAATTCGAATGGTTTCCCTATCCTCATCATCCTTAGAGATAAAACCATTATTGTGCAAAGTGCCAAAAGAAATCAAATTCTTCTTCAAATCTGGGATATGCCGAACACCACTCAATGTCCGAACAGAGCCATCATACATATTAATTATGACATCACCAATACCAACAATATTGCAACATCGATCATCACCCAAATAAACAGAACTAGAATTAATCGACCTGTATGTCGAAAACCATTCCCTATTTGGCGTGATGTGATAAAAATATCCAAAATCAATAATCCAAACATCCGTCAATTGAGTCGTTGAAATAGAGAACATATCACCCTCACTGCAATCAGAATTGTCATCCTCGACCACATTCACAGACTTGGACGAGTCATCACGCTTCTCATCAGTCTTCTTTTTCAACTTCGGATAATCTTGCTTCATATGTCCTGCATCCTTGCACTTGTAATAGTAAATTGTATTATTTTCCCTAGATTTGGATATGAAATTCCACTTCCCAGACCCTGCCTTCTCTGCCTTCCGTCCACGGTCTCGATTACCCTTGACATATAGGCTATCAGCTTGAGAGCTTTCCCCTGCATTCTGCTTCCGATAGTTGTGAGCCAACAAGCCTGCAGTAATCTCCTCAACTTGGATATTCTATTTCCCATATGTAAGAGTAGTCACCATGTGTTCGTAAAAGGGAGGCAACGAACACAACAAAATTATCACTTTGTCTTCATCCTCAATTTTCACATCAAGCCGAGCCAAATCAGAAACGATTTGATTGAAGACATTCACGTGTTGCGCCAAATCATTATCATCCTGCATCTTCAGCCCATACAGCCGCTGCTTTAGATACAATTTAGTCGTTAAGGATTTTGATATAAACTGATTTTTTAACTTTTTCCAAATTTCATATGGAGACGTCAGATGCATGACGAGATACATGACCTCATCCGCCAAACATAACCGTATGGTTCATGTCACTCACTGATGAAATTCTTCCCAATCTTCCTCCTCCATCGACACTGGCTTTGTAGGTCGCAAAGCCTTCAGGATCCTTGCTGCGCCAATAGATCCTTCACCCTTGTTTTCCATAATCCGAAGTAACCCTGACCATCGAATTTCGCAACTTCGAATTTGGATCTTGACATCTGATACCAATTGTTGAATAATCGGGTAAAGAAAACAGAAAGAACACAAGAATTTTAACGAGGTTCAGCAATGTGCTTACGTCATTGGTGCCTTAGGCGACGCTAGTTTTTTTATTCAATTCAATGTCTCATAGGTTTAGGTTACATCTCCTTTTATAATAAATAAACCCTGGTACATATTTACAAAAATAATCATGTACCATACCGCGGGGCTGCAACCCCGCACCCCCAACCCACATAATCGTAACCTCCACTACGAGACTTTCTCGGTATATTTATGAGCTATACCTAACAAAAATAAACTTTAAGAAATCATAAAATGGTTTTTCTAAAATTCTTAAGACCAACCAACATAATGTAAAGAGTCACTCCACACGACCACACATCTTCCATCTGAAAAGAAATTAAATTCTAAATTTAGGAAAGACTCGCTAAAACTTGGGCTGAAGTTTATCTTTGGTGTGACAAAATAATCCACTCCATAAAGCTGCACTAGCTCTAATAATGCCATATTTGTGGATTTCTAGCAAGTAATTGATCTTTTATCAAGCTCATATTTAGACCAGCATGTAAAGGCATCACTTACTCTAGCACACAAGATCATTTATCATAAGTACATAATCATAACTAAAATAACAAAGTGTAATAAAGAACCAGCTATAAAAACATTTGGATAAAGTGGATAAACACCAAATTACCTTGTCATCATATTCTCTTCGAGAAAGAACTTCTGGTGCAATATATGCTGGAGTTTCAACCGTTGACTTGGGTCTTGAATGCAGCAGCGATGACTGGAAAATGGGGACAAGGAAGAATCTTAAACTTTAACAATTGCAACATGGATTTAATTATGCTTACTGTAATAAATAATGACCCATTCGGTTACAGCTTTGAATAACCAAAATCACAGATTTTGAGACGAGGAGCAGGACTGCCATCTAACAGGGTATTCTCTAACTTCAAATCTCGATGACATATTTGTTGGAAATAAAAATGATGTAAAATATTACAAACATATAAAAGCAGGCAGTTTTAACATTATGCAATAGAGAGAAATGTCAAAACTTTGTTACCATGGAGTGACAGTAGCTAACTCCTGAGATCAATTGCTGGAAAAAAATATCTAGCCTGCAGACACAATATGAGAAAAAGCTTATTAGTATAAAGTTAAAAAAACAACTAGCAATCAATCTCTGACCTAAAAATATAATACATGAGTGTTCAATATTGAGGCATTTGATCTCATTCAAGTTTCTGTATAAATTGAGAGGATAGAGGGAACATAGTCCTGCTGACTACACGGTGAATTCAAAGTAAAATAAACATTTCTAGTTTCCTGTTTTTGGTAAAAAGCTTCAAAAACTAAAACTAACCAACCTCATCCTCACTGAATCATTCAGCGTTACTAGCTGCATACTCCATTACAATTGCAAGAAGTGTGGGATTCAAAATCACCTGAAAAATTGAAAAAGAAATAGTTAATTCAATTATAATCATATAAAGATGAAAAAAGATAATAATAAGAGAATGAAAAATTAATACCTCTTTGAACCGAATTATATTAGGATGACGCAGCGATCTGTGATTTATAATCTCTCTAGCCATATTCTCATCAATCAGTTCAAAGTTAAAATGCAACAAATTTCCAATTTGCTTTCAATCATGTAACAAACAACAATCAATGTTTTACTCAGCTGCAGATTTCAATTTCTAAAAAACTAAAGACAATGATTTCGTTAAAAAATAGAAACAATCCTTTATTTTCATCATGCATGCATACAATAATTCATAGAGAGAAAGACAAATGTAAGAAAAAAAAGGAGAGAGAGAGTGTGTGTGCGTGTGAGAGAGAAAGAGAGAGAATAGAACCTTTTGTCCACGGTCGATATACTTCATAGCGACGAGTTCTTTGGTTTATTTATTACGCATCAACCTCGCAACGGCAAAGTTCCCGGATCCTATGTCTTTCACCGTCTCGTACTTATCCATCTCTTTTTCCTTTCTTTACAAATAAATAAGATAAATCAAAAATCCTAAATTATTCACAAATCAAAGCATGTAACAATTAATATGAAACACATTATAAAATTAGAAATTCGCGGCGATGAAGATTGGTGAGATTTGGATGAGGGTAAAGGAATATTGAAATTTCTTCAAATTATAACAGATGAAAATCAGTGCTTTTTGAAGAGATAGAATCTTTTTTTAGTATTTATAAGTATTTTCGTAATTACAAGGAATATCCCACTGCTACTTTCCTTCAAACTCCAGAATGTTGCTTTTCGTTTTGCACGACAGAGAACAGAATGCTAGGATGATGAATGATGATAATTACAAGGAATATCACAATGTTATTTTCTTCCTCTAAAAGTGGTCGGTTGGATTCTATGCGGAGTTCCTTGCGGTGTTTATCGTGAGGACTCCCTTGATTCGTCCTAATTTTCTCTTTATTAATGTGAATTTCAGGACTTTTAAAATGACCAATTAATCAAATTAAAATTTAATTCAACCGGTTAAGTTCGTTAAACTGAAAAATGAACGGCCTAACAGTAATTATGGAAATGACTTTAACGAAGATCTGATAATATTTTACAAGTCTAAGAGATTTTGAATCTAAAAATTATTATCAGATTATATCCATTCTAGAATAATATCTATCTTCTTCGAACCAATGCTAATATATTCTGTTGATACTACATGTCACAGAAACATCATTTACTTTAGTGAAAATTCATATTTGTTCAGTTTTACACACATTCTTTTCTTTAAGAATCTATAGAATAGATTAAACTTTTAACCCCTTTTTTGAAGCTCTAAAATTGGAGATGATAATCTTACTTTCTGTAGTACTTGGTGAGATATATTGTTCTCAAAATTTGCCCTCTCTATTATTGAACATATATAAGGTAAACTACATGTTTAGTATTTAAACTATTATTTTTGTTTCATTTTGGTATCTAAATTTTTTTGTTTTTTCAAAATCATACCTAATGTTTTGTTTATATTTCATTTTGGTACACCGTCCTTAAAAACTTAACAGTGATGTTGACATGTCACAATAAGATAATGTCACACAATTATTGAAAAAAATAAAAAAATATCATGTTAGCAGTTTTGTTAATCTTTTAACAGTAGGATACCAAATTAAAACCTAAGTTAAATGTTAGGTTTGATTTTAAAAAATAAAGTTTGGGCATTAAAACAGAACAAAAGTAATAGTTTAGGTACAAAAGGTATAGTTTACCCATATATGTATTGCTTCCTATCGTAGACATGCATATAAAGTGAAGGGGAGGATTTGCTGCCTAGTTTTCATTATTTTTTGCGAGAATTAACATGGCTTGTAACTGATGCTCGTTGATTGTGTTTCAGAAGTTCTGGTGAAGGGGAGGATCTGCTGCCAAGTTTCGTTATTTTTTAAGAGAATTAACATGGCTTGTAGTGATTAAAATTGGACCGGATTGATTTGACATGAATGCATTTTTTTCTTATTATTTTTAGTGTTAAAATTACTTTTTAAATGTTTGGACGAAATTGATCGATTCACGGTTCTAGAAATTTGGAGTTTCGACAGATTTGACCCCCTTGGAGGATTGTTGTATTCTTATTCACCAATTAATTCTTAGTTCTACTGTATAAAAAAATCTCAGTTCTAGAAAATTGAAGAAACTTCCAAAGAACAGAAAATAACTCCATCCTCCTTTATAAAACAAAGTTGTTTGCTCTACCTTAATAAAATTCTCACATTTCCTTTCCCTCGCCACAGTGCACTAAAAATGGCCTCCACCGCCAGCCTCTCCTATGCCATGATCTGTCCCTCTTCCCTCCGTTGCCAGTCCGTCACAGGCCTACACTCCTTTCCTAACTCTACGCAGTCTCTTTTCGGCCTCAAGCCCCAGAAAAGTTGTCATCTTACAATGGTTGCATACAAAGTAAAGTTGGAGATTCATTAAGGACCTCAAGAATCTGAAAAACTGGGGATCGATCTCCCATTCTCGTACAAGTCTTGGTCTACATGCACCGGAGTAATCAAATAAGACAGTGTGGATCAGTATGATGACATTCCTTACGTTTAATTTATGTTTTAATTTGATAATCTATTGTTAAAAACTTAATAGAATTACTAACATGATATTTTTATTTTTTACCAATTGTGGGATGACAAGTTGAAGAAGTATATTGACGATGTCAAAGACCCTGGTCCTAGTGGCAAGCCTTATTCTGCTAAATACATTAGAAACTTGGTCGGAGACTTCTACCAGACACTGCTATATGGTGGAATCTACGGTTATCTCAGAAACAAAAAGAGCAAAAATGGTAAGCTGAGGCTCCTGTATGAGTGTGCACCGATGAGCTTTATTGTGGAACAAGCTGGTGGAAAAGGATCTGCTGGGGTTTGGATCTAAGGTTTAGGGTTAAGCTTTGGTGTTTAGGTTTAGGTTAGGGTGTAGGGTTTATGGTTTAAAGTGTAAGGGTTTAAGGTTTATAATTTTATGTTTATAGTTTTGAGTTTAGGATTTAGGTTTAAGGTTCAAGGGTTAGGATAATGTTTAGGGTTTGAGATCTAAAGTTAATAGATCAAGGTTTAGAGTTTAAGGCTCAAGGTTTAGGGTCTACGATCCAAGAAAACACACCCTTAACTACTAAAGCATTTAGATTAGATTCTTAACTTATCACTAAGCCTACGTTTGTTTCACAAAAAACGGATTCAGGAAAATGAATTACATTTCCTGGAAAACATTTTGTAGAAATCATTTTACGGTGTTTGGATGATGTTGTGTAATTCATTCTCCACTACTTGGTAATTTTTTTAAAACATTCTTTATGATCATCAAATACAATAAATAATATTATTTATTAACAAAATAATAATATTTTTTATATATTAGAATAATTTATTTAATATTATTTATGTCAATATAATTATTAAAATATTATATTCACATTGTTATAAATATAAAAATATTAACAACAAAGATATGAAAATTCAAACTAAAACATACTTGTTTTAGGAATTAAAATAAACATAATTAAATTTCTGAAAATTATTTAAGTATATGGGTGTTGCGTTTTTGTGAGTACTATAAAATTATACGCAAATAATGTGCAAGTATACACAATCGCTCAAGTAATAAAGTGATGAGTGAGTATCGTCTCCACAGCGATTGGGTGAAATTACAAAAGCCTAATCAAAGCTAAGCACTAATCTATCTATGTATAGTTAGTCTTTATATATACAAATGTCACGACAATGGAAATGTGTATGCTGATGGATATGGATTTATGGTCTGATGGTGTAGCAAATGGAAATGCAGTGGCAAGAACATATGTTTAGTGTTGAAAATGATGAAATGTCAAGGCAATGAAAAATGGTAAAAACAGTAGATAAAATTATAAGAAGATAATCCTCACGTGACAAGCTTCCTCTGGAATAAATGATAGGGATTGATTTAAGGATGCTAAACTTATTTCTCATGCAGATTTATGCTATCTAATCTTTACTCACTCGACAGGGTTTTCCTAAAGTGTTCCAACTATCTCTAGTCAGATGAACCTAACAGAATGGAATGCCAAGGCATCTGCTCTCACTCAACGATGTTGACAGACCACACTATTGATAAAAACACCCTTTTTAGCCGTTGAAATCCTCCTAGTCTCGCTCAAGTACTAAGGGATTAGGATATAATATTCCTAGGCCGGTTCAAAGCCCCTTGAAAATACTATAGCCCATTGCTTATAAGGATCTTGTCTTGTGCTTCTCTCAAATACTACCAGTTTTTTTTGCTTAGGTTTCTCTCGAACACCTAACCTTCATATAAGAAATGGACACTCTCATGTCTCTTACAAGCCTAGACGGTGAAGTATTCATAAGAAAAGCAAGCAAATAACCATGATGAACATAAATATACCATTAAAATATAGTTTAAACAAACATTAAACCAACCACCACCAAATAAGTTAGTTCATGGTGGGGTTCAAAATATCCACAAAATAAATCATGAAAATATTCGTTCTAACAACCCAAGAATAATATAAAAATAACAATAAAAGGGAAGTGAGAAGAAGCCTTCGATGCGCACCACCGGAGGTCTCCTCGGCCACCACGAACCACCTTAGCTCGCTTGCTCCTTTCGGCGCCTAGCTCACCACTCCTTGGAGCTTTATCAATGGAGGAAAACCCAAGGAAGAAGGAGGGAAAAAGAAAATAAAAATATAATTTTTCTGCTCTGTGTATGCGTGAGTGTCCTCTCATTTGTCATTCTCTCCCTTGAGGTATCATATATATAATAAAAATATCTAGGGGTAATGATGAGGTTGTTGGGTGGAAAATACCCCTCATGCCCCTAGAATCACACACCATAAGCGTGAACCTTATCCTCCAGGTGGCAGTGGTCCTCTGGCAGGCGGTTACAACAATCATTTTCATATGCAGAACCAACTGTCCTCGTACAACTGAATCTTTTTGTCATTTTCTGCGCCAGAAATGAAAAGGCATTTTAATTTGCTTCAGCAACGTGTAATGACGTGGCATTTCTTCCCAAAGAGTCCTTTTGTCTGCTATTCACTGCACACCACAAACAACTTCACCTTTCTCTCATACAACACCATTAAGAAATAAAACATCACTACCACCACAAATGCAACTATATGCAACTACATGATCCTAAAATGAGTAGAATGAGCTTTTAAACAAACAATAATTTAAGTGAAAAAGGCCTTAAAAGTAGCATTTTTAGGAAGTTAACACTCCCCAAACTTAAACTATTGCTTGTCCTCAAGCAATGAATATCAGTTGCATAAGCAAAATGTCATGGCAATTTTCAGCAATAGAATAATAAGACAAAATTAAATTTCAACCCTCAGAAAAATAGGCTTCAACATGCTAGACATATCAAGACTTCATGTACTTTTCCCTAGGTCAAGATTCTTTGTGGTAGTGTGTGCGCGTGATTGTATCCTATCTATACTTAGCAAATTTGGACAATTTCTACTCAAGTCCCCTAGTTTTTGTCAAGGCATTTACTTATTCATTAAGCACATTTTTACTCCATTTTTACTATTTTTTTAGATGATGCTACGATGGGAGTCAACTCATCACACCTACTCTCCCACACTCTAAATGAAAGGGAGTATACCTTTCACCCCTGAGCTAGTTAAGTAGAGTCATCCCATGACTACTTTCATTCACTCATATGTGCGAGGCTGCCATTTATTAAAGAGAGTTCTAGGCAATGCCATGGCAAAGAGGAGTGTCATTCTACAGCTATGCCTAAACATTTATTCACAGTTTCATATATAAGGGAGTTGTTTATGATTTTTTTTCTTTTAAGCACAATACTATATTTCAATGCCAAAACTAACTAGAGTTCATTCATAATTTTTTTTCAAATTTTCTAAGTATAAAGAACATACAAATCGTGTAAAAAAATTTCACAAAGCATCAAGCCCTAGAGTGAGTTCTATCATTCTCAATAGTCATTTTCATTCAAATTCTAGCCTAACAAAGTCATTATCATCGGGTATCCTCAAAACATTCTATCTAACTATCCTACCATTTACTAATGCCATGGCATAATACTACGCTAATGCTATCATGTATATGTCCTACTAAGAACACTACCTCCCCCAAACTTAAGGGAAACATTGTCCTCAATGCTTAAAGAGAACTAAACTAAATAAAAACTATATGCCATGCAATGAAATTCAAACTAAATGAAAATGAATGCAATTGAGGTACCTCATGATTTGCGTGGTGGTATTTTCTTGGAGGTGCTAGAAGGTCCTCGTCTGGTGCGCTTGCGTAGGGGTGCTGGGCTGGACTCTGAAGAACTAGAGTAATAGTGTGCAATATTCCTACGTCCAACTGTGTTTTGGTGCATCGGCCACTACGTGGTGCAGGAACGGGAATGGGTATATCTTCAACAGGAATAATAGGCGGATATTCAGGGGTCTCAGAACGGTGCTGATCAGGAGTCTCAGAATGGTACTGATAAGGAGTCGGGTCATCAACTGGAGGATCGGCTGAATCTTGCTCGGGCTCTGGAGATGCCTCAGCATTGAATGCCGGCATAATTTCCTCTGGAAAGCCATGGAAATTCCGTTGACCGTGGGGAATAATTTCTTGAAACATCGATTACACCACTACATCTCTATGCTTCACATATCCAAAGAAATTACGGATGTCACCGTGTAAAGCATGCACGTGAGTCTGAGTCTGCATCACAGCTTCCTCGAGAGCAAGCAATCTTACCTCGGCATTTGATTGTGTAGTACCTGCAGATTGCTCATGAATAGGGTCCTTAGACTTAGGATTTTCAAGTCCCAATAGCAGTGGTAGTCTAGCCCTAGTAATGCCCGATAATCCAGGTAAAATCTCATCAAAAGCATTTTCATTGACCTTTTTCTTACGACACAAAGCAATAATTAAGTTAGGAAACACTAAAGCACTTGCCTTTTTACCCAAACAGTCATGAACTTGATGAATAATAATACGACCGACATCAATAGGACGGGATACCATTATTGAGTGTAAAAGCAGTAAGCGAGAAAGTGATACCGTTGTATTATGAAAAGTAGGCACGAATTTATGCTTAAAGAAGTGATTCCATAACTTGGCGCGCGACTGAAGACGCTCTCGGTTGACCGATTATCTACTGGTTTGGCGGCCATTCCACTCAGTGTTTTCAAAGCATAAATCCTCAAGAATTCCATCGTAGGTGGTGCTATCGACCTCATTTTCAAATATGGCATGTCGATCCTCCACATCCTGCAAATGATAATATCGATTAATCGAAGAGGGTGTAGACTGAATCTGTTTACCTCGCATAAAAACAGAGTGTTGGTTTGGCTTGGAAATATTTGCGTAATACTCCTTAACCAACGAGGCATTCACCGAACCCGGATGCCTTGCAAATTTCTTTCATTTGAGTGGCGTGACGATGTCCATCACGTCTGAACCAAAACAACCGTCGGTCTCCTTAGTAAAAATGAAACCCAACTCAAAAAGAGTTTTCGGTTTTTGAAGTTTTGAAACTGAGCCTTGGCTTCCTCGTTCTCAAACTATTGGAAAGTGGAACCTTCAGTTGCAGCCGGTCTTGTACGCACCATTTTCAGTGTTTGTGAAGGAAGAAAAATGGAAAAGAAAAAATCTTTTGAAAGCTTTGGGGAGTTTCGGCTATGGAGAGAAAAAGTGAAGAAGATGAAGAAATAAAAGAGAAAAAAAATAAAATTTAAAATGAAATGGAAAAAGTTAAGGATGAAAGAGAAAATAAAAAGTTAAAAATTTGAGAGGGAAATGGGTTGATAGGACGGTTAAAACAAAATGAGTGGGTGGGGAGGTTAATGCGTGTATGGGGAAGGAAAATAAAAATCCCAAAAGTAATGATAGTGATAGAACAACCCTGAGGAAAGAGAAAAAGAAATGCTAGAAATAAAATAAATTAAAAAGAAACAAATCAAAAGAATATATCTCCCATTAATGCGATGTCATTTCCTCCCTTTGGTAACCGTTCCTTGTACGGTTTGTAGCACTGTGGTCCCCACGAATCAAATCAAAATTATCTACAAAATAAAATAAAAATATAAATAAAGAAAATATTAAATTTAAAATTTTTATTTACGAACAGACAGAAATTCGATGTCGTGGCATCGAATTTTGGTTGTCCTCTAGGCACGCTTCAGCATCATGCAGATGTAACACTTCCTTGTTGTGCGGTGGTGGAACTCCAGTATAGGATTTAAGACGCTGGCCATTAAATTTGAAGATCGTCCCATCTGTATTTTTAATGTCAACAGCTCCACGGGGATAGACATAATGCACCTCAAATGGCCCTGACCATCGAGATTTGAGGTTTCCAGGAAAAAGTTTAAGTCTAGAGTTATAGAGCAAGACTTGTTGGCCCACATGAAAATACCGTGGCATCAGTTTCTGGTCATGCCACTTCTTGGTTTTCTCCTTGTAAATCCGAGCATTCTTATATGCTTGTGCTCTAAACCCTTCCATTTCATTAAGTTCCAGTAATCTTTGCTCCCCAGCTAGTTGAGCATCAAAATTCAATTGCTTGATGGCCTAATAAGCTTTATGTTCAAGTTCAACCAGGAGATGACAAGCTTTCCCATATACCAGCTTAAAGGGTGACATCCCAAAAGGAGTCTTGAATGCTATTCTGTATGCCCAAAGTGCTTCATCAAACTTTGGCGACCAATCCTTACGCCTTGGGTTCACCATTTTCTCTAAAATCTACTTGATCTCTCGATTGGATATCTCTGTTTGGTCATTTATCTGTGGATGATAGACCGTGGAAATCTTATGTTGAACTCCATATATTTTCAATACCTTGGCAATCAACTTGTTATCAAAGTGGGTTCCTTCATCACTAATGATAGCACGAGGTACTCCAAACCGAGTGAAAATATATTTGTGCAAAAACTTGAGTACAATCTTAAAGTCATTCCTTGATGTTGCTATTGCTTCTACCTATTTTGATACGTAATCCACAGCAAGTAAGATATATAGATTTCCTCCAGAAGATGAGAATGGTCCCATGAAATCAATGCCTCACACATCAAACAACTCTATCTCCAAAATACTTTGCAGTGGCATTTCATGACGTCTGGAGATGTTTCCAGTCCGCTGTCATCGATCACAAGATTTATAAAATGCTTGGGCATCTTTAAAAAGAGTTGGCCAGTAAAAGCCTGATTGCAGGACCTTAACAGCAGTCCTTGCTCCACCAAAATGGCCTCCACATGGGGCTGAATGACAATGGTACAAACTGTCGCGCTGTTCCTCTTTAGGTACACCTCGTCTAATGAGTTGATCGGTATAATGCTTGAACAAATATGGCTCAACCCAAAAATAGTGCCTTGCATCATGCTTGAACTTCTTTTTAGCCTGACTATCTAAATCAAAAGGAAGAATTCCATTAACAAGAAAATTAACAACGTCAGCGTACCACGATATTACCGCGACATATAAAATTTTCTCATCAGGAAATTCCTCTTGGATATCTAAAGTGTCATGGCATTCAGAGTTGTTTTCTAGCCTAGATAAGTGACCATCAACTTGATTTTCAGTTCCTTTTCTATCTACCACCTCTAAGTCGAATTCTTGTAAAAGTAAGATCCACCTAATAAGTCTAGGCTTGGCATCCTTTTTGTTCACTAAGTATTTTATAGTAGAATGATCAGTGTGAACAATAACTTTAGTGCCTATTAGGTAAGGTCTAAATTTATCAAAAGCAAATACCACGACATGCAATTCTTTCTTAGTGGTGGTGTAGTTCAATTGTGCTTCATTTAAAGTGAGGTTAGAGTAATAAATAACATGAAAAAGTTTACCTCGGCGTTGCCCCAAAACAGCTCATACGACATAATCGCTTGCATCACACATCAGCTCAAATAGTGATGTCCAATCGGGAAGAACTACAATGGGTGCCGAGATCAATCTTCGCTTCAGCTTAGAGAATACGCCGAAGCATAATTCGTCAAACACAAAGAGTTGGTTTTATTGAAGCAATGTGCATAAGGGCTTAGAAATCTTGGAGAAGTCTTTGATAAACCTTCTATAGAATCCAGCATGTCCAAGAAAACTTTTTATACCCTTGACCGAAGTTGGTGGTGGCAACTTTTCAATCACTTCAATATTCGCTTTGTCTACCTCAATACCCTTGTGAGAAATTTTGTGGCCTAAGACAATGCCTTCAGTCACCATGAAGTGACATTTTTCCCAATTTAAGACCAACTCAGCCTCCTCGCATCTTTTGAGAACTTTTGCTAAATTACCGATGCATCGTTCAAAATCATCCCCACAAACAGAAAAATCGTCCATGAAAATCTCCAGAAAATCCTCAACCATGTCTGAAAATATAACTTGCATACAACGTTGAAATGTTGCCGAGGCATTGCAGAGTCCAAAAGGCATCATCCTAAAGGCAAAAGTGCCATAGGGACAATTAAATATAGTTTTTTCTTGATCCTCTGGTACGATGGCAATTTGATTGTACCCCGAGTACCCATCCAAAAAGCAATAGAATGCTTTGTCGGCCAATCGATCCAACATTTGGTCGATGAAAAGTAGAGGAAAATGGTCATTCTTTGTAGCTTTGTTGAGTTTTCGATAGTCCATGCATATCCTCCATCCGGTAATTGTGCGAGTGGGTAATAGCTCATTCTCTTCATTAGTAACCACCATCGTGCCTCCTTTCTTCGGAACATATTGGACAGGGCTTACCCATGAGCTATTTCAAATAGGGTAAATCACTCTAGTATCAAGCCATTTCATAATTTTCTTCATCACTACTTTCTTTATAATAGGGTTGAGTCTCCTTTTTGGTTCTATTGAATTACCGTGGTAATCTTCAAGCAGAATCTTGTGCATGCAGATTGTAGAACTAATGCCTTTCAAATTGGCCATAGTCCAACCAATTGTTTTCTTATGTTGCATCAAAACACTTAACAAACTTTGCTCTTGATTAGCAGTAAGGTTAGCGGAAATAATCACAGGTAAAGTATCATCGTTACCTAAGTAAACATATTTAAGATGCCCTGGCAAAGTCTTAAGCTCTAAAGTTGGTGCATGTAATAATGAAAGCTTAGGAGAAATAAATTCATCAAAATTCAGAGGTTTAAAATTCATACCTGATCTAGCTTGTAGTAAGCTAGATTGCTCATTCAAAATTGAAAAGTTGTCGTACTCCACTAAGCTTTCATCATCCACCCAATATTCTTTTTCTGCTAGCTAAATGAAATTGTTCTGGAAAAGATGTTCAGTTTCTTCTTAAATCACTGAATTCAATTCAGAAATGCCTTGGCATTCTTCTGTGTCATCAATATATTTGAGCGTTCAAAACACATTGACAGTCACACACTGATCAACCACTTTCATGGTGAGTTCACCTTTTTCACAATCTATCAATATGCGTCCAGTGGCAAGGAAAGGTCTTCCCAGAATGATTGGTGCCTTGGAATCAACTTCGCAATCCAAAATTAAGAAGTCGACTGGAAACACAAACTTATCCACCCTTACTATAACATCCTCGACTCTCCCTTCAGGTTTCACATGGGATCTATCAGCAAGTTGTACAATAACCGAGGTGGGTCTTGCATCTCCTATGCCAAGCTTCAAGAATATAGATTTCGGCATTAAGTTGACACTTGAACCAAGGTCACACAATGCCTTTCCAACAAAATTAGCTCCAATTGAACAAGGAATTATGAAGCTTCCCGAATCATTTCGCTTTGGTGGTAACTTACTCAATGAAGAACAAAATTTTGTTGCCGTGGCAACAGTTTATACTTTCCTCTTCTTGAGATTTCCTTTAGAAATTTGGCATACATCGACATCTGTTCAATAGCTTCCAAGAGAGGTACATTGATATGGAGCTGATCAAGAATGTCCATAAACTTCTTGAATTGAACTTCATCATTATGCTTCTTCAACATTTGCGGGAAGGGTGGTGGAGGTCTAGCTTCCTTGGCTACAATAGTAGGAATTACTTTTGCCTTGGCATTAGAATCTGGTGCCTTAGTTGAATCCTCCTCCTTGTCCTTCTCAGAAATGCTATCATCATGTAAATCAGCTTCACCACTTTTAGTACTGGGAGTAGAGCCATCATGTTGTGGCCCACTAGCCTTAACTTGTTGATTGATTTGTGTTCCACTCCTAAGAGTTAACACATTGCAATGCTCATTTCTAAGCCCTTTAGTGACTTCAGTATCACATGGAAAACGTCCTGCTGACGCTCTTGTAAGGTCGTAGTAATCTGACCAACTTGACATTCCAAAGCTCTCAAATACGAGCTATGGCTTTGAAGTTAGGCGCCTTGACTATGAAGTAAGGCTCCTTGATTCTTAATTGAAGTAGAATGATCTTGTAGCATTGTCTTCGTAGTAGATATGAATTCTTGAATGGTAGCTTTCAATGAACTCACGCTCGTTGAAGTTGAAGCTCATTTGTTGAAATTATGCCATGGCATAGCATTTTGGTAACATTGAGGCTCATTGTGATTCTGTTGCCGAGTAGACTGACTAGCATTGTGAGCTCCTTGATTTCCCCATGAGAAATTGGGATGCTGATGCCATCCAGGATTATAAGCGTTAGAGTAAGGATTGTTGTTGCCTCAATTGTAATTGCCTACAAAGTTGATGGACTCATGGTTGCTCGGGCATTCACTCTTGTGATAATTGCCTGGGCATAACAGACATGCCAAGCTAGTTGCTTTCACTTCCTTCACCTCAGTAGAACGTTGTAAGTTTTTTAGCATATTGGTGGTAGTTGAGAGTTAAGCGGACACCGAATCCTTGGTATCTAACTCAAATGCTCCAGGTGTTCTCCTCCCACTCCCAAGCCTTTAGGAAGGAAACTGATAATCATTGTTAGCAATTCTGTCTAAGATAACAAACGTCTCAGTAGGTGATTTATCCAACAATATCCTATTTGCTGAGGCATCCAATAATATCCTCGTAGGTGCATTGACTCCATTATAGAACATGACTACTTGAGTCCAATCGTGAAAACCATGATTTGAACACTTTCAAAGGAAACTCTTGTAACGATCCCAACACTCGTAGATGGATTCATCGTCGCCCTGGTGAAAAGACGCTAAGTCATTCCTTAGCTGCGTATTCATGTTCGGGGGGTTGTACCTCAATAAAAAAACTCTTGCAAAGATCGACCCAAGATTCCACCGAACCAGATGGTACACCACTCAACCAAGCCCTTGCTCGGTCATGCAATGAATACGGAAATAACTTTAATTTCAAAAAATCTTCATGCACTCCTTCTTGGCAAAAAGAATCAGAAACTTCCAGAAAATTTCGAATGTGCTACATGGCATCTTCATTTGGCATACCCCAAACTGCCCAATAGAATTCAACATGTTGAACATAACTGGTATAAGTTCGAAGTGTACAACTTAAATTTCGGGTGCCACAATTCCAGGATTCAGATAATCCAACATCGGATTTAAATGATCACGAATAACGCGTGGCCTACCAATATGTTCAACATTGTCTAATGCTGCGACATTCTGATTTCCGTCGTCTTGACCAATGCCTTGGTTTCCATTCTGATACATATTTTCTCGAGCGCGTTGAGCATGTCTCCTTTGTCTAAAGAGTCTTTCAATATCAGGTTCTATCGATTCCAAAGGCTCTTCAGAATTTCTTCTAGGCATACACTAAATAAACCTGAAAAAAAAAATATAAAGTAAACTATACAAAAATAGAAATGCAGAACAAAATAAAATGCTATGGCAAAACTAAATAACTTCAAGCTGCCAATCCCCGGCAATGACGCCAAAAACTTGTTGCATTTTTGTGAGTACTATAAAATTATACGCAAATAATGTGCAAGTATACACAATCGCTCAAGTAATAAAGTAATGAGTGAGCATCGTCTCCACAGGGATTGGGCGAAATTACAAAAGTCTAACCAAAGCTATGCACTAATCTATCTATGTATAGTTAGTCTTCATATATACAAATGTCACGGCAATGGAAATGTGTATGCTGATGGATATGGATTTATGGTCTAATGGTGTAGCAAATGGAAATGCAGTGGCAAGAACAGATGTTTATTGTTGAAAATGATAAAATGTCAAGGCAATGAAAAATGGTAAAAACAGTAGATAAAATGATAAGAAGATAATCCTCACGTGACAAGCTTCCTCTAGAATGAATGATAGGGATTGATTTAAGGATGCTAAACTTATTTATCAAGCAGATTTATGCTATCCAATCTTTACTCACTCGACAGGGTTTTCCTAAAGTGTTCCAACTATCTCTAGTCAGAGAAACCTAACAGAATGGAATGCCAAGGCATCTACTCTCACTCAACGATGTTGACAGAAAACACTATTGATAAAAACACCCTTTTTAGTCATTGAAATCCTCCTAGTCTCTCTCAAGTACTAAGGGATTAGGATATAATATTCCTATGTCGGTTCAAAGCCCCTTGAAAATACTATAGCCCATTGCTTATGAGGATATTGTCTTATGTTTCTCTCGAATACTACAAGTATTTTTAGCTTAGGTTTCTCTCAAACACCTAACCTTCATCTAAGAAATGAACACTCTCATGCCTCTTACAAGCCTAGATGGTGAAGTATTCATAAGCAAAGCAAGCAAATAACCAAGATGAACATAAATATACCATTAAAATAAAGTTTAAACAACCATTAAACCAACCACCACCAAATAAGTTAGTTCATGGTGGGGTTCAAAATATCCACAAAATAAATCATAAAAATATTCGTTCCAACAACCCAAGAATAATATAAAAATAACAGCAAAGGGGAAGTGAGAAGAAGCCTTCGACGCGCGCCACTGGAGGTCTCCTCGGCCACCACGAACCACCTTAGCTCGCTAGCTCCTTTCGGCGCCTAGCTCACAACTCCTTGGAGCTTTATCAATGGAGGAAAACCCAAGGAAGAAGAAGGGAAAAAGAAAATAAAAATATAATTTTTCTGCTCTGTGTATGCGTGTATGTCATATCGTGTGCCATTCTCTCCCTTGAGGTGTCATATATAATAAAAATATCTAGGGGTAATGATGAGGTTGTTGGGTGCAAAATACCCCTCACGCCCCTAGAATCACACACCATAAGCGTGAACCTTATCCTCCAGGTGGCAGTGGTCCTCTGGCAGGCGATTACAACAATCATTTCATATGCAGAACCAGCTGTCCTCGTACAATTGTATCTTTTTGTCATTTTCTGCGCCAGAAATGAAAAGGCATTTTAATTTGCTTCAGCAACGTGTAATGACGTGGCATTACTTCCCAAAGAGTCCTTTTGTCTGCTATTCACTACACACCACAAACAACTGCACCTTTCTCTCATACAACACCATTAAGAAATAAAACATCACTACCACCACATATGCAACTATATGCAATTACATGATCCTAAAATGACTAGAATGAGCTTTTAAACAAACAATAATTTAAGTGAAAAATGCCTTAAAAATAGCCTTTTTAGGAAGTTAACAATGGGTAAAATATATAAATGATCCTTAGTTACAGGACTGTTGAATCCTTCAAAAATTATAAGTAATTAGTGGTGACATGACATTTTAACACTGCACTATATGTTTTTTTTTGGGTAAATTACATATCTAGTACTGAAACTATCTTTCTAAAAATCTTTTTAATAGTATAGATACTAAACGAACGAAGACCAAAATTAATAATTTTAGTACTAAACGCGTTAAATTTTTAATGATGAGTACTAAAAAAAACAAAAACAAAACATTATGTATGATTTAAAAAAAATAAAAGTTAGGTACGAAAACGAACCAAAATCGATATTATAGTTACTAAATGTGTAGTTTACCAATTGTTTTTTAACTAAAACCATAATCTTGAACATTTACAAAGGCTTTTAGCATAAGGTCAAAAAGATTTGTAAAACATTGAAATCAAAATATCCAAAAATATGGTTCGAACCGAGGACTAGAATTTATTATCGAAAATCATGTTTGCTTGAACAGTTAGGAGAGGGAAGGCATTACATAGATGGGGCTAAAAGCCAAAATGCAATAGATAGTTGGTACATAACTTTGAAATTTGCTTTCTAAGAGGCACGGGTGACTGCAACATGTATAACATTAGCAAGATGGGGGACGGTACTGGAGCTAAGACCTGCCATACTAATCCTCCTGTAAATCAAGCAAAATTTTTTCATACGATTTGAAACATTATTTAGCGTGTTACAAATCGAAAGGTCTTCGGAGACGATAACAGAGTTATATGGTTCATAGAATATATAGACTCCCCCCTATTTCTATCGGTACGGGTCAGTGCAGGAGAAATGTAGTGTAGCGTGAATTCGACGAAGATAATAACTAGAATGCATACTTGAACTCATTTTCGGGAGGCATGACAATAGCTCAGTTTGTTAGCAATGCAAAACCATGTAATATTTGAACAATTTTATCTCGGTAGTGAAGAAGCTCTCTTCATGTTGAATGAAAAGCTTTAATGTTATTCAACATTCATCATATGATCATATCACGACTCGTGCAATAGCGATGGGAGGAGAAACCTTAAGGAATGATTTTCTAGCCTAGAAATAAAGTTCAAAGGAAAAAGGAAATAGATCTGTTTACCCATCAGATTTTATGTAAATGTGGTATTCTTTGGTCATGAAAGAAACTTGATCACTGTTCAATCCAGTGAAAGTAAACATTCCTATTTGCTTGATAATGTGACTCCAGTCACCTGGGTTACCTGCAAGAAAGGAGATCGAAACATGTTTATTTGATGATTTTATGGAATACAACAAAGGTTCATACCTACCATAAACATAAAAAGGGCACAAATATAGACCATTGAAAGAATGGATTAAGCAAAACCTTTAGCTAGTAAGATTCATTATTAATCAAATTAAAAAGTTAGGTCATTAAGCATAAATATAAATCTTAATGGATACAGATACAAACATATAAATCAATTTTTGTCAATAACCTTTAAAGTCAAAGTGAAAGAGAAAGCAAAGCAGGATGGACAATAAATAAAGACCTTATGAGCAAGCACTTAACTATACATGTATCAAATAGAAGGAAAGCCTACACATGATATTAAAAATAACTCAGAAGAATGCTACAAACATTCAGTTTGAGAGAAAGGTCTCAATCATCCGTGGTTGTGGTAAAGGAGTTACTGGCTGCAGTAACTAAGACTAGATGGTGCATCTTTTCACTTCTAGAATCGTATTCAAGATGTAGGTTCAGTTAACCGGATAAAAAAGATATTGGATATATCAGGATATAGAAAAACAAACATGAAAGGTAGGGGACAATTGCCAATTAAAACAATCCTAATCAATTAGACATTCTATCTATTCGTTAGAGGATTTCAACAAGCACTCAATGATGTATGAACCTAAAAGCAACTAACACATTATACCATCTGTCTGGAAACACATACAGTCAGCATTTCCAATCTTTCAATCACGACAACAAAGGATTAACCATGTTCACATTGAAAACACCAGAATATTCACAACCCCCTCCCCTCCGACTATACTATGGCTAGAATAAACTGATTACAGCTTCAGCTCGTTGCAGGAAAACACAAGAAAATAAGGAGAAAACACCAAAATACTGAATTACCTGAATTACCTCTCCAACTCTTATCTTTTTCCATTTTAAATTCCCCTGTCTGGAGAACTAACGCCTCTCAATTGTTTTCATCCCAATCTGATTTGTGTCTCCGCCAATTCTCATAACCATCTTTAATTGTTGCATCGAAACTACCCGAATTCTAAGCATCCATGTAACATCAACAATCAGCTTTAATAAGGTTTTCTTATGCATTTGAACAACGAAATATCCTAACAATGACAAACTCCAAAATTCTATTTTAGATTGCAACACCATAACAATAACCAAAATAAAGATATAGAAATGTTGATTCTCACAAATAACAAAGAACGGTTAGTAAATTACTAACTACAATACTTCTTTATCACTTCAAAAATTCTTCCAGATCAACTATTTATTATCCTAGATAATTAGTATCTATTCTCTTTGTAGAATACAACCTATCAACCCAACCACAGAATTACAAATATACTTTCAACATTGCACTTACAAAATATTATGTATACATAGTATATTTTGAGTGAAGCAAAATGTTACAGAACATAAGTAAATGGTATAAACCTTTTTTAGAAAGTCCACATCATTGGTCCTAGCCTTTCATATACCGCTCTTGGGCTAGTTATGGTTTTGGTATGATGTTAACCTATGCTATCTCCATATCCGCAATGCCTTAAATAGGAAAGGATAGTTATCCAACTATGCATTTTGATCAAAACATTCACCACATATATTCAAAGTAAATCACCCCATTTAATATTGCCAAGAAATGCTTGAAACGTTCTCTCGAGCAGCTTTAAGTCTAGCTAATTCAGGAAAGAAGAAAATAAATAAATAAATAAATGACTTCTATAGCTTATTTTCATTTCCAGTTCAAAGGTTGCATATTGCATCAATTGCGATTGGTGAAGTCCTCCAGTAAAGTGCACCAGCCAAAGTAATTGTTGCATCATAATGGAGTGGTCCTTTAAGAAATTCCCTGATGTAAAGGAGTGAGTTAGCGACAATTTAAAGAAGTCATAAGAAAGGCAACAAATAAGAAACGATCCATAAAGGGGTAAAAGATAACACACTATTTTCCCTCTTTAATGATATGTTATCTCAAAAGACAATGGCTCATTTGATGCCTAGATGATATACAATTCTATTTGGTTGATAAAATATTAGGAAATTGTCAACTTCACAAAAAAAAAAGTTTGATGGATTTAGTTTGCCAAAATGATCTCCGATGAAGCAAATACCAACAGAGAAAGCTACTCTTAAGAAATATCGCTGATACTTGTAACATATAAATAAATAAACTATGATTTCATATTCATCCTCGCATGTAGTCCCTATATATGCTCAATAACTTCACAATGGCTTCATCTTTCCATATTCCAGAACCTACAAGAAACATCCATATAATGTTGATGCCAGGAGTAACAGCTGCTAAAATTGATCCACGAAACCCAGAACTACAATGATAAGTAAATTTCCTTCTTAAAAAGTTTATTCAGCAACTTGATTGCCTGATTAAATTCATTCGCCTTGCAAAAGTTCTCAACCAAGACACCATAATGACTAGCCTCTGATGGAATACTCAATCGATTCATTGCCTTGAGCACATCAAAAGCTACCTTCATATTACCAGATTTGCATTGACTATTTAACAGCTTGATGAAAATTGAATTATCCATGGGTCCAATATACCTCTCCACCATATCCTTCAAAATAGTCTTAGCCTCATTTGTCTTGCCCGCATCACACAACCCTGGCAATAAAGTTCAATACGTTGGTACATTAGGTTGTGTACCAAATGACTTCATCTCTTCAAACAATCTCAACCCATCATCAACTTGCTCCATTGCAACATACCCCTTTATCATAGTAGTGTAGCTGATTACTGTAGGGGCTAAGTTCTTCGCCTTCATCTCTATAAACAACTTCTCAACTTCCTTCATTCTCTTTAACCGAGTATATCCATTAATCAATGTATTATACGTCACAGCATCAGGTGCAATGCCCCTAGCCTTCATATCTTCATAAAATCGATTAGTAGTGTCGAGTCTCAACGATAAAAATAATCCCCAAAGCATGATATTATAGGTATGATGAGTAGGCTCTATCCCTTCACTCAACATCTTATTGAAATACCTTTTAGCCATCATATATTGACCGCGTCACAATATAACCTTAAAGAAAGCATCATAAGACTTGATAGTCCTGTCCACACCCAACTCCACCATTTTCTAGATGCTGATTATTTTCTCAGATTGAAGGGGAGAAAGAGGAAAAAATAATTTGAGAATGGAATAGATTCAAACCTCGGAAACCATGGGCACGATAAGGATCTCAGAGAAGGCGAAGAGGGAAGGATGCGACATCGCTTCGAGGATTACAGAGCCAAGAACTAAGCCCACTTGAACTGACACTTTCTTCACAAAGTAATCGATTAACTCTGCTTGTTTTTGCTCGATATTAATCCTTAAAATTTTATTCCCCAAGAGCACACAATTATCATGAACAAATTATATTGAACAAGAATAGAGACGGCGAAAACTAACCTCATTCAAACGGTAAAATAATATTCAGACCCGAATACAAAATATCAATATAGAAGAAATTAAATCCCAAATTCATAAACAAAACCATTCAACCATCAACTCAAATGCAATACAAAAAATCATGATTAACATGCATTTCGATAAATAAAGAAAATGGGAGTTTTTGTTTAGTACCTAACAAGATCATCGAAAAATTTCCTCAAAATTTTAAAAGGAAACACCTCCCTTAGAACTTGAGGGTAAATGTGCATTGATTCAAAATGAAAAAAGGAAATATTTGATTCAAAACGAAAGGAAAAACCAGATTTTACCCAGCAACGAAAGAAAAAAATCGAAAGATTTGAGGCTAAGCACGCAAACACTGAATCAATTACTTCTGAGGAGAAAGGTCAGAGACTTATCTTCTCGTTGATGAGCATTTAGAGGATGGTGGAGAATGTTTAGGTGCTATGAGAAAATTGATTAAGTAATTGAAATGGAAAGAATCTAAGGCTGGGAAATGTAAAAAGAATAAGTCTCCCTGGGTAGAAGCAAAACATCCCACATCCGGGAGGAAAGCATAAAAGAAATGGTTTATATGCTTGAATTCAATTAATGTCTAAGTAAGCTGCCAGGCTTGTGGGCTTTGTGATTGGTGTTGTGCTTGGCTCCTTGGCTCACTACCCGGAGGTTGGAAGAGACTAGGGGTGGTAGACGAGCTTTTTGGTTTTGAGCTTACTTTTTGGGGTTAGGGTTTATAAGGGTATGATATGGTGTATTAGGGTTTATTAGGGTTTACTAGTATTTACTAGGATTTACAAGGGTTTACTAGGGCTTACTAGGGTTTATAAGGGTTTACAAAGGCTTACTAGGGTTTATTAGGGTTTATAAGTGTTTACTAGGGTTTATATAGGATTATAAGGGTTTATTAGGGTTTACAAGATTTACTAGGTTTTACTAGGGTTTACAAGAATTTATTAGGGTTTATAAGAGTTATTAAGGTTTATAAGGGTTTATTAAGGTTCAAGGTTTATTATGGTTTAAGGTTTAAGGTTTATAAGTTTAGATGTTTAAGTTTTAGAGTTTAGGGTTTACTAAGGGTTATAAGGGTTTACTATGGGTTTACTAAGGTTTATTATGGTTTACTAGGGTTTGCTAGGGTTTACAAGGGTTTATAAGGGTTTAATAGGGTTTATAATGGTTTATAATGGTTTATAAGGGTTTACTAGGGTTTATAAGAGTTTATTAAGGTTTAGTAGGGTTTACTAGGGTTATTAGGGTTTATTTTGGTTTACACGGGTTTACTAAGGTTTGTTAGGGTTTCTTAGGGGTTATTAGGGTTTAGGGTTTAGGGTTTAGGGTTTAGGGTTTAGGGTTTAGGGTTTAGGGTTTAGGGTTTAGGGTTTAGGGTTCAGGGTTCAGGGTTCAGGGTTCAGGGTTCAGGGTTCAGGGTTCAGGGTTCAGGTTCAGGGTTCAGGGTCAGGGTTCAGGTTCGGTTCAGGTTCAGGGTTCAGGGTTCAG